GCGGCCAGGGGCGCTACGGCTCCAACGGCGGACAAACAGGAGGGCGCGACCAGTCTCATCTGGCTCCGGGGGGCCAGACCCCCTAGATGGGGTACTTTGCCCCGTGGGGCGCGCCCTTTCCGCCTCAGGGGCGTGTGCCGTGGCTTCCACCCAATGTCGCGGGCATGCTCGGGCCGCGTCCTGGCAACCCTGCGCATGCCTACCCCGTGGCCTTCCTCGGCGCCCCGTCCTCCTCCACCAACCCACGTCCACCGATGTCGTGGGACCAGGCAGGCCTGCTCGCCGCCATGAACAACATGTCCATCCAGCAGCAGGGCGGCAACGGCGACTGGCACTTCGACTTCGGCGCATCGTCACACGTCACCGGGAACCCAGGTAACCTTGGCTCGCTTTGTTCTCCATCAAAGAACTCTCCCTCTAGCGGCATTGTCGGTGATGGCTCCCATCTGCCCATTCACTCAACCGGCTCGACCACACTCACCTCCCGCCCCTTCTACTTTAAGAACATTCTCTACTCTCCTCGCGTCGTCACTAATCTTATCTTTGTACGTCGTTTTTGCATTGATAATTATGTTTCCATCGAATTTTACCCCTTTGCTTTTGTTGTGAAGGATCTAGCCACTCGGACCCCTCTCCTGACGTGCAGTAGCTACGGGTAGCTCTACACGTTCTCCGGCGGCACCAACACCCACTCCGCTGCTTTCTCTACGACGGCCGGCGACCTATGGCATAGGAGGCTTGGACACCCCAGTGCTACCTCGCTCTCTCGCTTGCAAAATAATTTTCTTCCCTCATGTAATGGACCTCTTCACCCGCTTGGTTCGTGTGAAGCGTGTCAGTTAGGTCGATAGGCTAGATTACCCTTCCAAGATTCCATGTCATTTACTTTATTTCCCTTTCAACTAGTTCATTGCGATCTCTGGACGGCACCGGGTGCAAGCTTTTCTGGTTTCAAGTACTATTTGATTATAATGGATGATTTCACTCGTTTCTCCTGGACCTTTCCACTGCGTCACAAGTCTGATGCCGCTGCTTACATTGAGCACTTTTATACTTATGTACTCACGCAGTTCCGCATTGTCATCCAGTGTTTGCAATGTGATAATGGTGGGGAATTCCTCAAGTTCGCTTTCGCACGTTCCTCTCCGACCGCGGCGCCGCTCTTCATCTCTCCTGCCCCCACACTTCCCCCCAAAACGTCAAGGCCGGACGCGCGATACGTTCCACCAATGACATTCTTTGCACCCTTCTTCTCCAGGCAAACATGCCGCCTACCTTCTGGGTCGAAGCTCTCCACACTGCCACCCACCTTCTTAATGTCCGTCTCTCGCATGCCATCAGCCAAAACACCCCGTACTATCTCCTACGCGGTGTCCATCCCAACTACTCTTCCCTACGTACCTTTGGGTGCCTCTGTTTCCCGAACACGTACGCCACCATGCCCCACAAACTAGCGCCGCGCTCCATCCGCTGCGTCCTTCTCGGCATGCCCCTTGAACAGAAGGGGTATCGCTGCCTGGACCTCGCGACCCGGCATGTTATCACTTCCCGACACGTCGTCTTCGACGAACTCACGTTCCCATACGCCTCCTCCCTGCATGGCCGCACCGACGCACGAGAGCCTCGCACCCCTGCCACAAAAAATCCGGCGCCTAACCACCTGCCGCCCTCGAGCCACCTCGGATCACCCGCCCGCCCCACCTCCGGATCCCGCGTGCCTGCACCCACATCCACTGGGGCCCAGCCTGCCCTCCCACCCACCTCGCGCCTGCCAATCATGCTCCCTCCCACATCTTCGGATCCACCTCCCCACTCCCCACCTCCCGGTCCCACCCCCACTACCCGCGAATCCCCCTCGGGTCCTATGCCCTCGCACTGGTCCCCACCTACCGGCTTCGCTCCGGCCAATCGCAGCTCAGGAAAGCATGCAGACCCCTCCCGGCCCACGTCGCCCGTGCCCACGTCCCTTCCCCCACACATCGTTCCTGTTGCACCACCCAAGAACTTACACAACATGCGTACGAGGGGCAAATCCAGTTTTCTGCAGCCGCGCAAGCTCATGGTTGTCTCCACGACGTCCCCTTCCATCTCCCCCATCCCTGCCAACTACAAACTCGCTCTCCGGGATCCTAACTGGTACAATGCCATGCTTGAGGAATATAATTCTTTGGTGCAAAACAAAACGTGGTCTTTGGTTTCTTGTCCCGCAGGTGTCAACTTGGTGTCGAGAAAATGGATCTTTCATCACAAGCTCCATCCGGACGGCTCCCTCGCTCGGTACAAGGCTCGCTGGGTCTTGCGTGGTTTCACCCAGCAACCAGGGGTGGACTACGGTGAAACCTTCAGTCCGGTGGTCAAGCCGGCCACCATCCGCGTCATCTTGAGCATCGCCGTCAGCAACAACTGGGCCATCAACCAGCTCAATGTCAAGAACGCGTTTCTCCATGGGACGCTTGTTGAGGTCGTGTACATCCAACAACCGGCCGGCTTCGTCGACACCGCGCGTCCTACGGCTGTGTGCAAGCTCCACAAGGCGCTCTACGGCCTCAAGCAGGCGCCACGCGCTTGGTTTCGACGGTTCACGTCCTTCCTCTCCACCATGGGCTTCACTGCGTCGCGCTGTGACACATCGCTGTTCATTCTTCGCCGTAGCTCGGGGGTCGCGTACCTCCTACTACATGTCGACGACATCATACTCACTGCCAGCTCCGCGTCGCTCACCATCGAGTTCACCATGACCAATCTCGGCGCGTTACACCACTTCCTCGGCATCAATGTCCAGCGCAATGCTCAAGGTCTCTTCCCGTCGCAGCAGCAATACACCCTCGAGATCCTCGATCGCGCCTCCATGCTCAACTGCAAACCCATCGCCACCCCTGCTGACACCAAAGCCAAGCTCTCCGCCACCTCCGGTGACCCCGCGCTAGACCCATCTCTTTTCCGTAGCCTTGCCGGGGCGCTCCAGTACCTGACGCTCACACGCCCAGACATCGCCTACGCCGTCCAGCAAGTGTGCCTGGTCATGCACTCGCCGCGCACACCTCATGTCGCTCTGCTCAAGCGCATTCTCCGATATCTCTGCGGAATGGTGCACCTCAGGCTCCATCTGCGACCATCGACATCTTCTCAGCTCGTGGTATACACTGACGCCGACTGGGCAGGGTGTCCTGACACCCGCCGTTCGACATCCGGTTACTGCATGTACCTCGGCGACAACCTTGTGTCCTGGTCGTCCAAACGGTAGGCCACGGTGTCCCGCTCCAATGCGAAAGCGGAGTATCGAGCTGTCGCCAACGCGGTTGTTGAATCGTGCTGGCTCCGGCAACTTCTTCAGGAGATCGGGCGCCCGCCCACTCGCGCCACGGTCGTCTACTGAGACAACATCTCTGCCACGTACCTCTCCTCCAACCCAGTGCTGCATCAACGGACGAAGCACGTCAAGATCGATTTGCACTTCGTCTGCGACCGTGTGGCCTTTGGAGACGTCCGCGTGCTTCATGTGCCCTCCACGTCGCAGTTCGCCGGTGTGTTCACGAAGGGGTTGCCTAGGAGTTCAGGACCAGCCTCAACGTCGTCGAGGACCCTGTTTCAGCTGCCGGGGTGCTGTTGGAAAACGGCTACGTCAGTACCCGCCTGACCGGTTCTCACGGCGGCTCCCTCCATCTCGCCACTAAGCACTCATAGCTCGCGTTGGTTACGCACGTCGCCCCCGAGTGGCGCTCGTGCCCGTTGTACTATCATCTGTATATAATGTACCCTTGTGAGATGAATGAATACACAGTGAACATTATCACTAAACAACTGTCCGGGTCCGGCCTCACTCTGTCTGTACTCTCTACTCTGTAACCCTGTGTGTGTGCAGGCTTTCTTTCAGTAGTACGCCCTCGTTATAATCCTCATACAGTATCTTTTTTATTAAATGGTCTGAAAAGTTAACTTTGTGTGATTGGTCGATCCATGGACGGATGGCGTCGCTACAGCACCAAAACGGGAGTTATGTGCGCGTAGACAGATCTGCAAGCAACGCGACGCAACGAGTGGCCGTGGAGCAGCCGCAATGCAGATGCAGTGGAGTGGAGTGGAGTGCAGGTCCAGGCATGCAATGCAGGTCAGCAGGTGCTGCCTCGTTTCCTGTGGTCACGCGTTGGTGCAGTACACGGCCACCGGTACGTCGCTGGCAGTGGCGTCTCTACGCACGCATCCATACGTACTCAAGGTAGCACTACGTTTGATCTACTTCCCCCTCCGTCTCATAATATAAAAAACGATCTTATACCGTGGGACAGAGGGAGCATTTACGCTGCTCGTACGGCCATTTTCGCAGCTACTTCCTTCGTTTCTAAATATAAGTCTTTGTAGAGATTTCACTGAACGAACGAACGGGTTTCAGTTCCTGGCTGTGGTTGACACAGTTGTTTCAGTTTGATTCTTCCTACCTGAACTTTGCGCAACTGCACTCTGGGCCAACTGAAGGACCCCGAACCGAAACCCACCGGCCGGTGTCGGGCATGTGGCTGTTCAATTTGCTGGCTAACGACCAATCAAAAGGACCATTTGCGCTTTAATAATCTCGCTCGGCTCAGCTCAGATCCATCCATGGAAAGCCCTGAACCAACAGCAGTTTAGCCGTTCAGGTCGGTTGGAGATCAAGGCCCCGGGCAGAGTGGCAGTGTCATGTCAACTTGCCAAACAGCACTGACAGCAAAACCATCCGTCACTGTCAGATGACCAGATCAGACGATCGTGCTGTCAGCACGGGTTTGTGGAGGGAGATTCTTGCGTGCAAATGGAGACATGGAAAGTAATGGAAACCATGGGCTTGATCAAATCCCTTACTATTCTCGCCTCACTAGTTGCTAGTAGTTGGTTTTGTTTATGTACACTGATGATATAATCGAGAGGATCATATTCATACTCATACCGATCTCCTAAGCCAAAAACCAAGTGGACACTTGATCTACTGACAGCTGCAAAAAAGATTTGGATGGGGACTAATGTAATCAATCATTGGCGTGGATGCTGCACGCCGACGAGGGTATCGAGGGGGAATCCGATTCGCCGTCGTAGTCATCGTCGTCGTAGTCGTCGTCCTCAAAGTCGGTGAGGTCGTCGAAGTCCCAGAACTCGTCCTCCACCGCCTCCTCCGGCATCTGCCACCGTTCCTGCGATATCTCGGCCGACGACTCCAGCAGCTCCAGCACCTGCCATTAATCACCCATGGCAACCAAGTTAGTGAAGCACAAAATTCAGATACATACAGCTACTACTCAAGATTCGGAATGGCAGCTGAATTAGTAACATATACTCCAAACTGAATGTGCACACCAAGCGTTGCTCCAAACTGAAACACTTTACCCCAAAACTTGGTTTTCCAACAAATAAAACAAAAACAAAACAAAACAGTCGAGTCTCTGCGAGTCGATCGTGTGGCCTAACGAGAGTATCAGACAACTGATGGTAAGTATATGTGCTAGTGGTACAGTGTATCGGCGATGATAGACTAATCCGTGATTGGACTTTGGTTGGAGCAGACCAAGCCCAATTCTGGGATGGCATGTTTTGTTGGCTAGCCTCGAGATTTATCTTCTCGAGCTGTCCTGTGTCCCCTCCCCAACCTCCCTCCCTCCCTCCCCTCGGCCTTCCCGTGAGTCAGTAGTAGTACTAAGCTAGAAGCAACAGAGCATCCTATGCCAATAGCATTACCAAGAAACCGGCCATTCTTGGGAGCTGCGATGCGGCCAAAAGGACCAGAAGACCCCTTTGTCATCTTCCAAAGCCAGAGTAAAATAGCCAGATCACCCGGTTCGTTGTCCTAACCCTTCATTCCCCACCCACTCACTAACAGAAGATTCAATGCTGAAGAAGTTCTCCTTGTAGCTTCCATAATTAGGCTCTAGTACGTACTGCTCAACCTCTAACCGTCGAAGTTGAAGCTCCCGTGGACGCTTGGAGACAGGCCTTTCCAGCTAGGATATATACTACTGATACTGATTGATCCTCCATTATTATGTATGCAGCATTATCATGCAGTGCCTCTGATTTTCGTAGATGTCGCACTGCTACACACAGTGATACAGTGTACATCATCACTCATTTTCTACAGTGTGTGTGATCCTAGTTGGTTTGGTGTGATGCGATGTCCAGCGGAGCAGACCAAGACAATAGACAAGCTAGTCGACGCAATCACACGGGTTTGGCTTGGTGCAATGTTACTCGCGCACTACGTACTGGTCGGCAGATGCGTCCTCGCGAGTGAGCTTAAACTAAAGCTAGAACCCAAGCAACTGACACAACGTGAACGTGGCGGTATTTAACAACCGTATGCACGACCCTGACAGACATGCTACCACAACTACGACAGGTGCAAGCCGTATGTGTGTAGCAGGCTAGTCTAGTTTGGGCTCTATTTGATTGGACCAAGAATATACGGATTATTAATTTTGCGTCGATGTTAATATTATGTTTTCAGATAGCTAGGGAGATTATTCCCGGGCGAGATGGTTACTTGGCACCGGACATCCATAAAGTAATGGACTAATGGTGACCTGCAGATTACTACTAGTATGGGGTATGGCTTGACCTGCAGTGCAGATCAGCACATTATTAACACAGACGGTGTCTCTTGGACTAGATCCTTCCAGCAGCTGTTGACAATTATTCATCCATCCAAGCCGGCATTGGTTTATTTTTGCCACATTCCAGTTGTGATTTGTCCACGCCATTGTATGGTACTACTAGAATGACAGAGGTGGCGAACCTACCGTTCAGACCGGGCACGTACCTTGTAAGAAGCGCTTCGGATAATGTTTTCGTCTGCTTGATTGGCAATCTAGTTGGAGAAGTTGCAGTTGTTGCCAGTTGCAATGCAGGGCAAGAGGTTTGTTCGGGTTGCCGGAACAAGAATAGGAATATAGGTAGTAGTTGTCCTTGTGCCTTTTGTCGTCCGTTTGGTGATGGTTAGGGAGAGGGGTTTCAATTGGTGGCCCATGCATGCATGGTTATGGCGCAAATCCTACCACTCTGTCAGAGTCAGACCTACTACCCTAACATCTTCAAACCCAGACGGTTATGCGCAGGTTCTATCTAGGGCAGCAATTAGGGCACCAACTATCGAAAGCTACGTGCGTTATTTAGTGCTGGTCGACGCCATGTATGTCGGCAAAAGCCTTCAGCGTTACAAGATTAATGCTGCAAGTTTCGTGCTCCCAGTGGCTGAATTCTGAACTTTGTCCATAATTTGGACAAGGTAGGCCAGCAAGTGCAGAGGAAGAATATAATAATTTTCATCAGTAGTTTGTGTACCTCTGTCATGGTGGGACGCCACGCGGCAGCGGACCTGGCGCAGAGCGAGGCGACGAACATGAGCCGCCGGAGCTGGCCGGCGTCGTAGCCGCCGTCGCCGAGCCGCGGGTCCACCAGCCCTTGCACCACGCCGTCCTTCAGGTAAGGCTTGGCCTGCATGCCGGAACAGACGAGAAAAACTCAGCCACGTCGTCGCCCTGGGGACGAGCATGTGCCGGTGATGACACGTGCGGGAGAAACTTACCCATGCGAGGAGGCTCATGTGGGAGCCGTCGACGGGCTTCCGGCCGGAGATGAGCTCGAGGAGGAAGACGCCGAAGGCGAACACGTCCGTCTTCTCGTCCACGATGCCGTGCGTGAAGTACTCCGGCGCCAGGCACCTGCACGCCCGCCCGACCATAGAGTCAATGCCACGTCGCCATTTTCTTCCTCCCCTTCTTCAATGCCACACGTAGTAGTACTGTACAGCTCCGCTACCGGACAGAGACGACGAGAGGAAAGCTTTTGAGTTTTGACTGACTGACCCGAAGGTGCCCTCGATGGGCGCGATGGCGTGGTGCGTCCACTCCGACGGCAGCCACCGTGCGAGCCCGAAGTCGGAAATCTGCGTCAAGCAACGTCTGCGAGTCACCGCCACCGTCGAACAGAGGAAGTGTACATGGGAAGAGGAGGAGCAGAGTGCAAGCGTACCTGGGGCTGGTAGTCGGCGTCGAGGAGGATGTTGGAGGCCTTGATGTCCCGGTGGATGATCCGGCGCGCGCAGCCCTTGTGGAGGTAGCGGAGCCCCCGCGCCGTGCCCACCGCCACGCCGTGCCGCTGGCTCCACGTCATCACCGGCCGCTTCTCGTCTGCACCGCGTCAGTCAGGCGACACGTACGTGCTAGACTACATTGGGGAAAAGCAAACAGAGCATGTGGAGGAATGGAGAAGGGACTCGCCGTGGAGGTTTGCGGAGACGGAGCCGCGGGTGGAGAAGTCGAAGACGAGGTGGAGGCCGCGGTCGACGCAGCAGCCGAGGAGGGAGGAGACGTTGGGGTGGCGCACGTGGCCCACCGTGCCCAGCTCCGTCAGGAAGTCCTTCTCCTTCTTCTCGTCCGCCGCCGCCGCCGCCAGCCGCTTCACCGCCACGGCCCGCCCGTCCGCCAGGATGCCGCAGTACACCTCGCCGTACCCGCCACGCCCCACCACGTTGTCTGCACGCACGCACGCGCAACCCATAAAATCTCTGTATGTAACGCACTACAACGCCGGAGAAAGAAAGAAAGAAAGAAACGGCGGGCACGAACAAACCGGCGTCAATTCCTGTTTTTACCTGGGTGGAAGCCGTTGGTGGCCTGGTCAACCTCCTCGTAGGAGAAGCACCTCCATGCGGGCTTGCTCGGCGCCACCGCCACCGGCGGCGGGGGCTCGGCCTCGACGACGCAGTCCTCGTCGGGGTTGCTCCGGCGGCCGATGGACAGGAGCCGCTTCAGGCTCCGGCTCCTGAGGTAGTTCATCCCCCCTCTACCTATCCACCGAATCCGGCGCGCGGCGGAGCACACGCACGCACGCACACTTGGCTAGCTAGCGTAGGAGGTCAAGCGAGAGGGATACGAGGGCATTGAATGCCCGGGCAGCTGAAGCAAGAAAGCAAAGGCAGTGGAGAGAAACTGCTCCGCATTCAGCAGGGCATTAAATCGGGCGCGTAACTACTCCCTGCGTCGTCGCGTGCGCTCAGGCTCAGCTCAGCTCAGCTCGAGCAGGAGCGCTCAGCTCAGCTCAGTCAGTCACGACTCACGAGTGTGGAGGGAGAAGAAGACGGCACGAGGGGGGGAAGGGGAGGAGAGGAGGGGCGTCGCTGTCCGTGCCAGTGCCTCGGCGGGGAGGGAACAGCACAGAGGGGTGCGATACGATGCGAGAGAAGGCTCCATTTTATATGTGCTGTTTGCTTCTGGTGAGGCGGGACAGGACGACGGTTGCGGGACCCGGCCGCCAACGGAGGCAGCGGCCAATGATCTCTTCTTTCTTTGTTTCTTTCTTTCTTTCTTTCTTGTACCGGCACGGCAGCACGGGAGCGCGGGAGGAGCCATTAGCCTCTTTTTAATCCAAAAGGTATTATTATCATCGATCGCCCTCGTTTCATTTCATCCACGCAACGCTGAGTGACACGCACAGGTGGCGTCGCTGGTGCCGTGTTGGGTGCGCGCGGGCGGGGCTGCTGGCGCTGGTCTGATTGCCGGGCGGGCGCGCCAATGAATGCCGCCCGCTTGGCGCGGCGTGTGTGGCAATGGATTCGACAGTTATGACTTCATGGCGGAGGGGATAGAGCTGGCTGAGCCTGAGCGTGACCGGTCACCCGTCTCCCATGCGTGCCTGCCGAGGGGAGCGGCGGGTTTCGAGACATGATTCCGTACCTGGTGCCCGGGAACAAATTCCGTTTGGCTCCGTCGCTGGTAGAGCTAACAGACGTAAGATGAAGCTTTTAGCTTCCCTGACAACTGGCCGATAATGCATCTTCGGATTGTAAGAATTTGAAAATGTAGGAGTAGAAAACAATGATTAAGATGCATGCATTGTAAATTCCTACTATAAGATTCTATAATTATAGAGGGCCCAAAGGATATACAATTCAAGTGCACCAGACTTCTCGAAGGAAAAATAAAATGAGGTTTGAGCTCGTTTTAGGACCCCTATAAAATGAAAGGTATAAGAATGCTTCTCGTAGAGGTTTGATAAACCCGTTCATAAGATCCAACTGACTTTCACGGGAAAATTTTCATATGCAATTAAATCCTCTGAAATTTTAATGAAATTCTTGCAATGAAATAAGCCTAAGGTTCACCATGCCTCGCAGTTCCTATTAAAAATTCACCAGGTCGTTGGGACATCCATTGGATCGTTGGGCCACTGGACTAGGCCCATCGTCCGTAAATTTGGATCCCATGGCCTCTCGTGTGCGCCGATGCTATATCTCACTTACTGCAAGATAGAGCACCGCCTGGCCTCAAGCGTTTCTGCTTGTGCGTCGTTTTGGGAAGGCCTTTTTCTCGTTGGCTCGTCTCAATTTCTTTCCTTCTATTCCAATGGTTTAAGGAACCTTCTAACCATGTTTGAGGAAGACTCTGGGTCGTTTTTTTCCTTCTTTGTGGTTCCTTTTCAGTTATCTTCTTCTCTTCTCGTTTTTTGCTCAATTTCCCTTGTTTGGCTTAGTACCAATTTCTTTTTATTTTTCATTTTTCCTTTCTTATTTTTTTTCCTTCTGTGTGGTTCCTTTTCGGTTTTCTATTTTCCTTTTTATTTTTATTTTCTTCTTTATTTATATATTTGTTTTTCATTTACTCATGGATTCACGTGTTTTTTACCAGTTTGTTTTAGTGTACAAGCATTTTTTATATGGTATGAACATTTAAAAAAAACTGAGTGATCTTTTTGCATTTTACAAACAGTTTTTTACATATGAATATTTTTGAAATACATGCTGAATATTTTTTGAATTCACGCTAAACATTTTCTATATACACTTTGATCATTTTTTAAGTACACATTGAGAATTTCTTGAATGAATGTTTGAACATGTTTACATTTTTGCGACATTATTTTAAACACCTGAACATTTTTAAGCCTTATGGAAAAAATTTAAATGGTATGATTTCTTTATATGTCATGATTGTTTTTGTAAATGTGCACACAGTTTCAGAATGGTACAAAAATTGAAAAAAAAAATATGTGAACACATTTTTACATTCCGTGGAAATATTTTAAACAATGTCATGGCCATATCTTCATACGCGTGAACATTTCTTTTAAATGTCCTAAATCTTTTTTTAATGGTATGAATATTTTCTGTAAGCTGCACATTCCCTTTTTTACATTTAATGAAGGGTTTTCCTTACGCATGAACATTTTTTAAATGTCACACACACTTTTTTGAATTGTACAAACATTTATTTAAAATTATACCAACAATGTTTTTACATTAATGAACATTTCCTAATATTGTCATGTACAAGTTTGTAAATGTGTGAATATTTTTGGAACATTGGGAACATTGTTTGAATTGTACGTACATTTGTTTTTACATGTCATGAACATTTTTTTGATGGTATGACCATTTGCTATGCATACAAATGTTATTTGACAAAAGTCATGAACGCTACGGAAATTAGCGAAAACCCAAAGCCCAAAAAGCTCGTACATGTCTGTACTATAAGGAGGAGTTGGTATGTCCGTCTCACCCGGTCACCCCCTTGAATCCCCTTGAATCCATCGGGGCGTGATGTACGTTTTTCTACCGGAGCGGGGTACGCATAAACGGCGAGGTTTGTTTGTTCAGGCCGACCTGACAACAACGGCCCCATGAATTTAGACGTCGGTACAAGCCAATTTGGTCAGTGCCCACTAGCGAGAGGCCGGACTTGGTGTCGTGTGCCCAGTAGGCCCAGTAGCGAGGCCGCCTCCAGGCCCAGCCGCGCTACATGAATAGTCCCACTACGATGGCGTCTTCCTTTCGTCCAAACGAAGCACCTGGATTGATTTTAAAAAAGAAGAAGTAAAAACCGAAGCAGCTGGATACAGTCAGAGCCTCAGAGGGAACGGCGTGCATATACGCACGCCCGGTGTAGAGCCAATTTCCAGCAACCTACCCTAGCATGCATGTCGCTACGAAATTATCAAAGGGAAAAAGTGTTTCAAACGGAACGAGATTGACGGTGGTGGGTGCTGACATGACGTTTCAACTCTGAGGCCCTCGCCCAGACGCGTCCGAGGACTTGCCGAGAACTCACGATCAGCGTCAATTAGCTTGGCACGCGTCCAAGGAAAGTTCAAATTTCAAAGATGCGCAACGTCGTCTATACTCGGCCGATACACAACACGATGGATATTGTACAATAGCAGTAATTGAACAAGTCAGCTGCCATTTCTATGGGCGCCTCCCTTAATTAAGTACTCCCCGTCGTCGCCGACCGACCTTCCATTCAGGTTCCACCCAACGACGGACAATCAAGATGAGAAGCACGATCGAACTGCTACGTTGACAACATACACACGATTACGTTGGAGTGAAGAACAGAGCAACCGCGTAAGCCCGTTGACATTTTCTCCGGACAAGACTTTTAAGTACTGGTCGACCGGCATTCCCTGGCTTACAGACAATTGATCAAGAGGGGAGGCTCTCGATCGAGCAGCAGCAGCAGCAGCAAAGATGGTCAGGGCGATGGGTATTGCCGCGGCAAAAGGCTTCATCGCCGGTTCCATGCACTACACGCCCAGCGGCGTCGTGTGTCTAGCTTTCGCCTTCGTGGCCGCGGTTGCCATCGTGGCCGTCGCCGTGTTTGGTTGCGCCGGCCACAAGAGCTCCGGCGGGAAGAAGCCTCGACGTGGTCACGGCGGCTCCTACTGGGCAGCTGGAGCGGGCGCAGGCGCAGGCGTCTATGTTGGAGACAGCGGTGTTAGCACAGGCGGTGGTGGCTGTGGCGGCGGAGGGGGAGGAGGTGGTGGCTGTGGAGGCGGAGGAGGTGGTGGAGGTTGCTGAGAAAAGACATCACACAGTGGATTATTACTGCAAGACCATGATATAATTTGGTTGGATAAATTTCACTTTATTTGAATATTTGTAAATAATACTTTCATTTTCGGAGATGTTGTAAATGCACGCTCACTTGTTTACATATTTATACATTCATTCATATATGATCTATAATTTCACATGTTTACTTCATTGTGGTGCCTCTTGGACGACTTCTTCCTTGGGTCCGGCTGGCTCCTGCTGTCCAGTCGCCGTTCTTTGGCGCTTTTGGTGGAGGGTGCGTTGATCTAGTTCGCCTCGATGTCATGGTTGTGTCTTCAAGGTTTCCGGATTTGGTTGTGACGCGATGTCTCTTTGCCATTTGTGGCTTGAGGTTGGCAATGTGAATTTAGTTAGATGTTTGTAGTGCTGAAATATGAGGTGGGCTTTAGGCCCATCCAACAATTTTTAAAATCTCTAAAGGGCCATCTGGGTCATATGATTATGTGATGGGAAGTTTAGTACCAACCCGAATTTGGAGGAAGAATCGAACCTCCTTATGAGGAATCCTCTTCAACATGCAATTGGAGCTTGAGAAGAGAAGTAGTCCCGTGCGCTCATTCTCTATCGCCCGCCACGCCACGCGGGCATCGTGTTTCGTGAATGGGCTGAGTTAAGACCTATGTCACTTGTGCACTTCAGCTTAATTTTTGCTGGTTAGGAACAAAGAGTCCTTAACAAACGAGCCACGATCTAAGATGTCAGATCGTGGGCTGTTGCCGACTCGGACGTGGGTCAAACCAACGCCTCTCCACCCGACCGCGCCTATATATTCAAGGCGTCGGCCAAACCCAGCCGTCATGAAGAGCATATCACATCTTCTCTGTCTTCACACGCACTGTCTACCGTCGTTCCACTCGCTGCTGCTGTCGGCGGCAATCTCTTCCCATCCACTGCATGCATGACTGTACAGGAGAGCATGCCTCCAGAACCCCTCGCCTTGAGATCTTG